GAGAGAGAGAGAGAGAGAGAGAGAGAGAGAGAGAGAGAGAGAGAGAGCGCACCTGTGACCAGACAGGTAAGAGACTCTGGGGGAAAGCTAACATTACTCTGCTTAAGGGACACAGTGTTAAACTGACTCCCAATGACTTCTACTGTTATGCTCATAGATTATTGTGCCTCTCAAGCCTCATCAGAAAAACTTCTTTTTAAAGTGTATTGCAATTAATCAGGAGACCCACATTTGGTCAAAATGTAGAGAATAAGGAGCTACAAAGTGTTCAGCCCTAAATGGGACATCTTTATCACATTCTCCTCTTACCAAGGCTCGGGAAACATGATGGTGGTGTGTGGGGTGCGGAAAGACTGTAAGAGCCAAAGGCAGTAGATATCTCCAAGAGAACACAGCAAGGCAGCTGCACATATGAGCGGTCTCAGCAGCTATGAAAGCATGCACGAGCCTGTGCAAGACCAAGCCACACAAAATCCCATCACAGTTGGGAAGAAGTGGGCACAAAGCGACCCCGTGCCGACTTGCTATTAGTAGTAGATAGTTGCCAAGAGATAGAGAGTTAGTTTTCTTTGAGGGTATGGTCGCTGGTAGGTTAAGCACACTACAGTAGATAGCCACACACCCAGAAGGCTATAGCCAGTGTGAAATGGGCTGGATTTTTTCTAAATTGAGGCTACAATATTGGGCGAGCTTGGAATTACGGATGGATTTGAAATGAATTGGGGGTAAATATGATCAAAATACAATGTAAAATTCTCAATTGCATATATACAGGTATGTATGTATAAATGTATGTATGTATGTATGTATGTATATGTGTATGTATTCATGAAACCTTAAGAAAACTGACATATTATGAAAAACAATGTACCATTCAAAACAAAACAAAACAAACAAGCAAAAAACAAAAACAAAAACAAAACAACAAAAAAAAACAGTATTTCTAGCCAGGCATGATAAGCCCACAACTTTAATGGTAGCAACTAGGAGGCAGTGGAGGTAAATCTTTCTGAATTTGAGGCTAGCCTGGTCTACATACAGAGTTACAGGCCAGCCAGGACTAAATAGTGAAAACCTTTTGCATAAATTAAGTAAGTAATGAGATATTTCTAGAAGTGAAAGTATAGTGTCTTAGGTTAGGGTTTCTATTGCTACAATGAAGCAGTCAGGTAGTGAGGGCACATGCCTTTAATCCCAGCACTCAGGAGGCACATCTCTGTGAGGCCAGCCTAATCTACAGAGCTAGTTCTAAGACAGCTAGAGCTACACACAGAAAAACTCTATCTCAAAAAACAAAAACAAGGTGGGTAGGGAGAAAGTAGGGGAAAAATGCCCTCTGCTGCTCCAGAGACAGCCACAGCTTGTGTAGTACCAGCCTCATCCC